GGAAGCCAGGTGACGAGTCAATACACGCCGCCTGGCTTCCTTAATGGGACTTCCGGTATCAGTATTCGGTATCTGCGAGAACCGGAAAAAATATATCGGTACTCAATGCCGATATCAGTGCATCCCTACTCTTTTTAATAACTATACTTTTTGGCTATCATCTTGAAGCCTGGTCTACCTGGAGAACCACGGACCTAGAACAAGAATTAAGTGCACTAGTTGTATGTTTGATGCAGGTTAGAGTCTTCGTAGGTAGTGAAGCCAGGATCACAATAAAGCTTTGAGCATTTGGTAATAATTGTAAGTAAATCTTATAGAGGATGATAGGGAACTTTGCACCTAGCTAGCTTTTTTTCTCCTTGTAATTATTCATCATCCATATGCTTAAGATTGCCCTATGTATCCCTGTTTTTTTTCTTATTGGTATTATTGGTAAAAAAAAAATGTTTTGCAGTTGTGCAGACAAATAAAAGGAAAATAAAATGCAGTGATCAGAGGCCAGTGTTTATGCCACACATAGGTAATAAATAAAATTGCTAGACACATTTTTATATGCATCTATCTCCTTTATAGCAAGATATGGTTTGAATCTGTAGTATCTGAATAGCCAGATAATCTAAACACTGTTATACTGGGCAGTACAACTGTACAGAGAGGTGTCTAGATATCTACACTCTTCCAACAGCATTCATCAAGCCTATCTGTTCTTGTGTGACCTCATTTCTGAGTTGGCTGAAAACCCTGGCACAATATGACCTTATCCGTAAGTTAAAACTGATATCTTGCTAACTGACCTTCGTGGCCAGGGACATTCCAATGTTTTAAAGATATGTCCTTCAAATTTACCTAAAATTCAAGTGTAGAATGCAAAACCTTTTTTTAGTGCAATAAAATTAAAACTATAATCAGACACTAAATTAAGTAATGAGACAAATTAAGACACATTAAACAACTTATTTGTATCTGTTTTAAATGCAGTTTATCAGATAAGCTAACCTAAATCAGATTTTGGTCTACATTAACGTTTTGGGGATTCTGTTTCTATACTTAGTCATAAGATACATTGGTTGTTCTGTTAAGTTTGATTGTCTGCTAATACTGCATTAAGGTGCTATAGTTTGTACAATGCATGGAAAATAATCTGTGAGTCTTCGGCAAGTTGGAAATTGTATATTGTTCAAGAGTTGAAAGTCTTTGAAACGAATGTGATGCACAGCACTGAATGTGTCTTTTGCATTGTAGTCATTTCAGAATAATAGTTTAACCCCTTCATGACTGAGGCCTCTTTTGCTTCATTTTTTTTGTACCCATGCTATATTCCACATTTTAGGCCTGAAAATTAAAAAAAAACCCCAAAAAACCCCAAACATTATATATTTTCTGAAAGCCAAGACCCTATAGAATAAAATGGTGGCAGTTAGTGAAAAATTTACTTAAATGCCCCAAAACGCAATACAATACCCATTTGTTAAATAAAATATAAAAGATGAGGTTACAAAGAGTAAATAGATACCCAACATGTTCAGGTTAAAAATTGTGTGCGTCCGTGAAACGGCAACAAACGTCAGTACCCCAAAAAGTCCATAGACAACGCCTTAAAAGCCCCCACAGGTCATCAATTTAGAGATACCCAAAAATACTGGCCCTAGAATTATTGATCTCACTCCGGTGTGCACAGCGATACCCAACATGTGTAGCACGTTCGTCGTTTTCATACATAGGCGCACCCGACGCGTGTTTACGTGGCGCCGCGCAGGCGAGGGACTTTAAAAACATTTTTTTTAGATTTGTTTCTTTTAATTTTAAAAACTGTTATTTTTTTAACTTTACTTTGATTGCTATCACATAAGGGGTCTTACAAGCCCCCCATGTGATAGCAGATGGTGGTGACAGGTACTCTTTAAGGTGATTCTGGGGGTCCAAAAGACCCCCAGTGTCACCTTTACACTCCAAATAAGCTATTGAAGTGCAGATCGCACTTCAATAGCTTATAGCTGGGCTTCAGGAGCCCAGCACTGACTGCTATGGGACCGGAAATGATGCAATCTGCATCGTTCCTGGTCCCATGGAACAGGGAGGGGATCGACGAATGGAGGTTCATCCATCTCCTCCTCGTCGGGCGGGGGACGACGACACCCCTTCACCGGGCCATAGAAGCGATCTGGTGATAGCTGAGTCGCCAGAATCGCTTCTATTGTAAAGCTGACAGTCGGCTTTACAAGTTTAAACAGAGTCCCGGCGGCTTTTGCTTTAAACAGCTTGTTTAAACAGCCCCGTGCTGGCGACATACACGTTGTCAGTTGTGAAGGGGTTAATAGTTTAAATAAGTTCAAATTCTATTTGATCTTTCTCAAACTAACCTAGTTTGTCTTTCTTGACATTATTAGGTTTGATTGGATTATTACGGTACTAAATACTATTGTTATCAAAATAAATATTATGTTGATTAGATATGTTGTCCATTAGATGATTGACCCTTGCACATGGTAGTATTCCAGTCTATCAGTTTGCTGCTTAGGTAAAGCCAAAATTGCAGTGCACAATTCAGTCTTATTTAAACAATCGGATCTTCCAAAGCTATGTTTTTCCCTTGATATGCACATCAGCTGCTTGATGCATTTTATAGTCCATAATGTCAAGTAAACATAATACAGCTTGCCTTTCTGGATAGCACAAAAGAATTGTCCCTGAAATGTTGAAAGTTCTAAATTTCTCTTTTGCAATCTTGAGTCTTTTGAACCTAGTGAGATAGCCGTAACTGTGCTAGAGTAATGTGTAGACTGCAAATCTTCCATTGTATATAGCATGGATAGTTGAGCAGTATTTTCCTATGGTTACTGCGCATGATGTATATCTACCCAACTATGCCAACATTTAACATACACAATACAGTCGTTTCTAGTTTTCTTTTTGTTCTTTTTCTGGAAATAACATTTTTTTCTGTACCAGTTACTTTAAATCTAAGAAAATGGGACATGTTTTACTTCAAATAAGAGTTCAGTAATTTTAGTGTAAGTTCTTTTGTATGAGAGTTATAAATTTGTTGAATTATATTTCTACTTGTTTCATAGCTCTCATTCAAGGATTGTGGCCAAACCCAGGGGAGCATTCCATGAGGGTTAGTGTAATTGTAGAGACCAACAAGCCTGAAAAATCCTGGTATTAGCTCAGTTATAGGAGCCGCTTCACCAGTTCAGTAGCTTCAAACAGAGTTGATCTGAAGCCCAGGCAATACTGTCCTCTTCCCAGAGACACCAATTGGAAAATTGCAAAGGGCCCAGCTGGTGAAGAACTCCTGCCAACTTTCCTGTGGATGCTCGTATTTTTATCTTGTTGCTTTACTGAACGCGCTAATCTTAAGAATTACAAAATAAACAGTTTGAGGCTTGACATACATGTTTTGAAAGGTTTTTTTTTTAAACTGTACACTAAAATTACAGTAAACCCAATCACAAATATATCCCATAGCATGTTATATTTCACATACAGTACATTTGTCCAGATTGATATTTGCACTTTTGCTTTTGGCTTTCAGGTAAAGTGTAGACTACTAATGTATTTAGCTTTTATTTTTCAACGCGTACAGTCTTACCTTTAAAAAAAAAAAAGATTTTTAGGCACACTTCTTAGCTACAGGACTATAGGCACAAGACAGGTTTGTTAGCTCTGTGGTCTGTAGAGCAAGGGTCTTAGTTACAATAGCAGAAGTTAGGGTAAGGTTAATGGTGAAGTCAAGAACTGACTTTAGGTATGTCTACCACCTTGATGCCTATTACCTGAAAAAAGTACTGAAATGTTCATCTAAAATGCATTATTTATTATATAGGTTGACTTCACATTTTAGGGTTTGGGTGAAGGGAGTGTTAAGGTTAGGTTAAAGAGAAAATATACTGGATTTAAGCAAATGTAGGAGCTATCTATACAGTGTTTGTCACAAAGTCATTTTTTAAAATGTCCTAAACATTTTTATAGCTCTTGCTCCTCAGTAGATGGGTCACTAGAGGGAGCTATCTATTGATCGAGAACTGAGTGATCAAAAACCGCTAATGGCTCAGTTCACGATCTGCTCCCTGCAGAGAGAGTGGTGACTGTCAGCCACTCCCCCCCTCCCTCCCCTCTCCAACGGTGGCTGGACAAACAGAGAGGGGAGGGGGCCAGCATAGCTGGCTCTGACTCTATAGAGGCAGAGCCATCTGTCAATCAGGCAGCGGGGTGGATCACGACTTTCCTGGCTGTAGCGTAGCTCTGCACTGTCAGCATATAGTGTGCAATAGCCCACTATATACTGAGTTTTGGGTCACAGGAGGACATTAGTAAATTTAGTAAATGTCCTCCTATGACCCAAAAGAGAACTATAGCCATAGTTCTTTTTTAAGTTGTTTCTCTCAACAACTGTTGTGATAAGCTATCAGCAACATACGGGGTGCATTGTTGGCAATCATTGGCGGTAAGTTCAACCATGTTGTAGCTCTGCAAAGCACAGAATTGATAAATGAATAAAAAAAATTAATAGAAACAAAGTTTTTATTGTATTAACAAATATTTGATTGTTTGCATCACTTTCTCCCCTCCAAAACTAAAATAAAGAATATAAATATAAAGACAATTAATTCCCTTTTAGGTTAGGGGTCATGGTAATATGGGGGAACAGTTCTTGTTAATTTTGTAATTTTTTTAATGCTTAAATCTCTGCTCCTTGATCTACTTAATTTCCTATTGTTAGGAATATCACTTGCCCTACTGTACAAATCAGCATATTGGGCTGGAAGGTGTCATGCAAAGGCTCATATAACCTTTTTCAGTCTTCCATTTCAAGGAGACTTTTATAGCTATAGGTGCCTGCTTATTAGGAAGAACCAGGCCCTGTGCCTGAATGCTGAACAGAAAATGTGGGTTATTTCTGAAGTCATCATTATATGTTTGTTACAGATATTAACAACACACCTTTTTCTAATAATCTCAATTTTCCAGTTTTCTAAATGCCTCTCTTTCTTCTGTAGGTTGAAGATGCCATGCTGATGTTTGACAAAACTACTAACAGACATCGAGGTAAGTGCTTGTGTTATTCATTGTTTTAGTTGCTGTTACTGGAAGCTTTGGTGACTCCAAAACCCGCTCTATGTTTGTCTGTCTGTTCTATGGAAATAAATTAAATGTATATGAATCTTGCTCACCATATTTTACAGTATCTTTAAAGAAGAACCCCCGGCATAATTATTCTTAACCCTTGCAGTGGGGCTTCCCCTGCACTGCAAGGGTTAAATGCTTTTTTTCATCTAGGGATGACAATAAAAAAAGTTATACTCACTTGAACCTCAGAGCTGACTAGCTGTGAGACGGTTCCCTGCCTCCTCGCTCCCCCTCCGCTCCAGAGGTCTAAGGTCCCGTGAGTCATTACGTCCACAGTGTATTGGACGTGAGGACGCCACTGGACATTCAAATGTTGGAGCAAAAGAGAAGACAGGCTTCAGGGACCAGAGTAGCAGCCAACCATTTCCAAGGTGAAGGTGCGCATTTCTTTATTTCCATACCTAGAGTGAAAATAAGCACTTAACCCTTGTGGGGAAGGGGGGTAAGTGCAAGGGTTAAGAATAATTATGCCTGGAGTTCTTCTTTAAAGGATTACTGTACTCTCCAAACCAATTATCTTGTTTAATATATCCAGGATACCAAGCAACTATATAAATAGAAACTATTACCTCTGCCTCTGTAAAAGGATTACATCTTCCTCTGTAAACAATTCTCTATGTACAAGGAATGTGAACCATGCAAGAGGAAGACATCTGCTATGCATAACTTTGTTCAGTGTCACTGGCAGGAGCCATAAATAATGATGTCTATAATGCGCTCCTGTAATCCCCCGGAATATTGATCACAAACTGTTAGAGGCAGATATCTTCTTCTCGTGTTTAGGTGCAGTGTAGATAGCACACCTCTAGACCTGGACGGAGAAAAGATGTTTACCTTGCTTCCCACAATTAGATGCTTGGGATAAGGGGAAGGAGGGTCAATGTGTGTGTGTGTGTGTATTGATATAGAAAAAGTATGCGAACCCTTGGAATTAACTGGGTTTTCTGCAGTAATTTGTGTGATCTGATCCTCCTCTAAGCCACAAGAATAGACAAACACAATGTGCTTAAGCTGATAACACACAAACAATTCTAATTTCTGGTGTCTTTATTGAACACACCCATTAAACATTCATAGTGCTGGAGGAAAACGTAAGTGAACCCATAGACTAATTGCTTGAACGAAAGCTAATTGGATTCAGTAGCTTGCACACCTAGAGTCCAATTAAGGAAATGAGTTTGGAGGTGTGGTTTAGAGCCACTTTGATTGATAAAAGACACTCAAACATTTTAAGATTGCTGTTCATAAGAAGCATCAACTGATGTGAATCATGCCTCGCAAAAAGGAGCTCTCTGAAGATACGATCAAAGACAGACAAATTGTCTATAAATGGAGATAGTTTAATACTGTGGCTACTCTTCGTGGAAGTGGGTGCCCAGCCAAAATGACTCCAAAGACACAACGCAGAATCCTAAAAGAGGTAAAGAAGAACCCATGAGTAACAGCTAAAGGCTTGAAGACATCACTGGGACTAGCAAACATCCCCCTACCATACAAAGTATTTGAACAGGCATGGTGTTAATAGCAGAACACCATGGAGGAAGCCAATGCTATACAAAAAAAAAATATATTGCTGCACGCCTGAAGCTTCCCAAAGAGCACCTTGGCAAGCCACGACACTATTTGGAAAATATTTTGTGAACTGAAGAAATAAAAGTTGCATTTTTCGGGAAGAATATTCAGTAGGGATGCATCAATACCATTTTTTTAAAGACCGAGTACGAGTACTGATATTTTTCCTCAAGTACTCGACGATACCAATACCTTTTTTTAGTGTCATGTGACAGTTTTTTAAAACAATACAGACTAATGCTTTTAGGAGAGTGGTGGAGTGCCAGGGCCCAGACGCAGCTGCAACCTCTGCGACCCTGGTAGTTCTGCCACTGACTCCAAGCTGTAGAAGGACTACAAAGGCTGCAAGCGTGGGACCTTACAGCAGCCGCTTGTGTTTAAAGAGTGAATGCACGGGTACTCATGAAAATGCCCAGTATTGGCACGGATACTGGTATCGGTGCATCATTAATACTCAGCACTATGCATGTCACAAAAAGGGTACAGTTTGCCAACATCAAAACATCACCCCAATGGTGAAGTACGGTGCAGAGAAAAATCATTATTTGGGCTTACTTCCCTGCCATCATCAAGGGGAAAATTAATTCCCAAGTTTACCAAAATATCCTACAGGATAATGTCAGGGTGGCTGTCCACCAGCTGAGGCTTGGTAGAAGTTGGGTGATGCAGCAGGACAATGACCCTAAGCATTAAAGTAAATTCACCACAGCCTGACTTCAGACTGTGCAGTGGCACAGTCAGAGCCCAGACCTTAACCTCAGAGAGATGATGTGGAATGACCTCGAGAGCTATTCACACCAGACATCCTGCAAATGTGTCTGAGCTGAAGCAGTTTTGTAAAGAGGAATGGTCAAAAATTCCTCCTGAACGCTGTGCTGGTTTGATCCAGAGCTATCGAAAGGGCTTGCTTGAAGTAGTTATCAGTTTAAGCACATTATGTGCTTGTCTATTGTTGTGACTTAGATGAGGATCAGATCACATTATATGGCAAATCACTGCAGAAAACCAGTTAATTCTCCTGGTTCACATACATTTTCTTGCCACTGTATATATATGTATGTATGTATGTGTTGACTACTTACTTCACCCTCTCCTGTGAGTGTACTAACAAATGCAAAGGTACTCGGTACCAGAGTCTGAAGTGTGAATTCTGTTATCAGTCACAGCATTGTAATTCATACACACAATAGAATCAGACTGAAGAGTAGAGTAATTGATTGAAGTAATTTATGGGATGTTTATTTGTGCTTCCGTTTGGCCTACTATGTAATTACCGTCTACCTCAGAGAACTGATACTTTTTAATTGGCTGTAGTATGTGAATTTACTTGCTGTGGATCATGAGGGAACTGTTGTTCTCATACATTTGAATAGTGTAACTAGCAGAGTGCAATATTGTCATTACTACATGCAATATGCTGGATTTTCTTTTTATGTGCTGCTTACAGTGAATACATTTTACGGGCAAACATGTGCTGGCTATTGCCAGATATATCATTGTGTTTGTTGCCTTCTTAAAGAATGTCTACCAAACATAGTAAATGGCGATGATTTTATAATGTTTTCACAATAGTGTACCACCATGCCCTCTTTATGTTTAGGTGTTTCCCTTTAAATCCACCTTTGGAACCCTTGGGTTGACAGAGGAGGTTACCGCAACTGCATCTTCTAAACAAATAGGAAAGTTACAAAAGCTTACAGCCTTAGGGAACGTTAAAGATGAGAAAAAGAAGCCACCCCTGGCTGAGCAAAGCTCTTGTAATGATAATCTAGCAGAGTCTAATTGATTCTCTGCCTGTACTTACCACCTACCTAAAGAAATCACTTGTCTGTACTGAGCAGTTGGTATCTGGCAAGCCCTTATTGATCTCTGTAGCTTTAGGTACTGTTGAGCAATTCATCTTCAATTTTCCCAGCAGAAGCACGGAAGTTGTTCAAGTCCACCCTTTCAGCTTATTCTGTCCACCCCCACTCTTCCCCCAGAGAGCACCTGTTCTCTGTGTACATTAGAAATCCGTAGGAAGACTGCCAAGCCACTGGTGGGAGTGGGAGCAGGGTAAGCTAAGTGCCTGTGGCTACAGAGGTCGGTGAGGGCTTGTTGTACTGTCGCAGACAACAATTAAAAGTAATGCACCACCCAATCCCTATAGCAGAAGTTTCCCAGCCTTGTGCATTGTCATTTTTGTGTAGCCTGGATCCTTTACCCTCTGTTCAGTGACAGCTTCCAGGATTTTGTACATAATCTGCACAGGAGTGAAGGGAGAGAAGGTGGCTGCATTGTGTGTACTCCACTGTGACAGCAGCGCACAGAAGGGCTTTTATACAGAATGCATAGTGCTGGGGGAAGGAGCCTGACAAAACAGGGGAGCACTATGAGTAAAGTTTGTGCAGAGCAGGGCTTGCAATGGACATTCTCCCGGGTAATGTGTGTGGATTGCTGTTTTTTAACAACTTTGCTCACTTATTATTGTTCACAATAAACTATTGGTGGTCTAGAGTGAGAAGTTGTGACAGGGAAATTATGTATAAATTGTCACAAAAAAGTTGCAAATTGTTACAAAATATCTTTTATGTTGCAGTAAGCATAGTTTATAGAGTCCTGCTTGGCTCACTAATGCACTTGTAGTATGCCCATAAAATATATGCAGGCTTTCAATTACATGTCATGTCACATAACTTGCAACATTTCTGTGAACTAATGCAAATTATAAATTTTACTATTTTTTAAGCACGTCACATTCAACAGGAAAATGCATTGTGAATCTTTGTCTATTTGTCACACTAGTAAAAAGGTTGTGTCGCATTACGGATAGTTTATTGGGCCTGCTGTGCGTGTCCCAGGAAATACAGGAAAGTTGTTTGGTCCCTTTATGGCTGCCTACCCGCACGCCCATGTGCTCAAAAGCCAGCCTTCGAACACAGTCTGCAGGCCAATGGAGGTCAGCTTAAAGGCTAGAGGGTCTCAAGGGCAGCCCCCAGCACTTCAATAGGGCCACACAATGGCAATGCACATTGAAGAAAAAATATGAGTAAAACAAGCCCTATCATTTGTGTCAGTCAGAGTATTAATAACTACCAGCATTGGTTTCATTGGCCACAACAATAACCCCCTCACCGTTGGTGTCAGTGGCAGCAATAATAACTCCCAGCATTGGTGTCAGTGGCTGCAAAAATAACTACCAGCACTCGTGTTAGTGGATGCAATTATAACCCTCAGCATTGGTGTCAATGGCTGCAATAATAACCCCAGAATTAGTGTCAATGGCCACAGTAAGAAATACCAACACTGGTGTCAGTGGCTGCAATAATAAATACCAACATTAGTGTCAGTGGCCGCAAAAATAAACC